AACATAAGTCAATGAAATAGAGAATATAAAAACTATAGAGAATAACAATGAAACCAAAAGCAGGTTCATCAAAGATCAAGAAAATTGACAAATCTTTAGCTAGATAAGGAAAAAAAGAGAGAAGGTTCAAATAACTAAAGTCAAAAATTAAAGAGGGACCATACTACCAACCTTACAAAACTAAAAAATATTTAGAGAAGAATAACATGACTAATGGTATGCCAACATATTAGATAATTTAGAAGCAACTGAAAAATTCCTAGACACACACAAACTATTAAAATGGACTCAAGGAAAAAAAATAATCTGAATAAGCCTATCACAAGTGAAGAGTTTATATTAATAATAAAAACCCCAGCTACACACCAAGAAAAGCCCATGTTCATAAATGTCACTGGTAAATTCTATCAAACATTTGGTGAAGAATTAATATCACTTCTTCCCAAACTCTCCAAACAATAGAAGCAGTAGAGACACTGTCCAACTCATTTTATAAGGCAGTATAGGCATGATACCAAAACTTTACAAAATATCACAAGAAAACACAAATTCAGACCAATGTATCTTATGAATATAGATTAAAAATCTTTTAAAAAATATAAGCAAACATAATTCAGCAACATATAAAAATAATTATACCCCATGATCAAGTTGGATTCATCCTGAGTATACAAGGTTGGTTAGCAGACAAAAATCATTAAATACAATACTCCGTATCAGTGCCATAATAAACAAAACCACATGACCATCTTGATAAACACGGAAAATAAATTTGACAAAATATAACATGATGAAATCATTCAGCAAAATAGGAATAGAAAAGAACATCCTCAAACTGATAAAGAGTATGTGAAAAACCCACAGCTAACATCATACCTAAAGGTGAAACCCTGTCATCAGATCAGGAACAAGATAAATATATCCACTCTCACCACCTCCATTCATCATTGTACTGGAGGTGCTAGCCAGCACAATTCGGCAGCAGAAATAAATGAAAAACATCTAGATTAGAAAGGAAGAAGTACGATTACCATTATTTGCAGATGACATTTTTGCGTATTTAGAAAATCATAAAGAATTCACTAAAACCTATTAGAACTAAACCAAGTTAAGGACAGTAACAGGATACAAGATCAATATACAAAAATCAATTGTATTTGTGTACACAAGAAATGAACAATCCAAAAATGAAATGAAGGAAACAATTCTAGTTACAAGAGAATTAAAAGTAAAATAGAAATGACTTTAACAAAAGAAGTGTAAGTTTTAATACTAAAAACTACAATACATGACTAGTTGGAAACACCTAAATATCCTCCCTGAGCCTCCTCTCCTTGGCCTGTATGTCACTGATTCTGACCCCTCTTGTCCATCCCGGGCAATCATCTTATAGCTAAAGGATCCTCAGGTATCACAGTAAGGGAGGCTAGGGATTCCAAAGTCTGAGGCAAAAGAGCTCTGGGAAGATCAAAGCTGAGTTTCCTGTATCTGCAGAATAGAGTCACTGAGGGGCAACTGTAAGATCAGAGAATGAAGAGGAATTTGAACAAGGCATGGCATACATTAAAGAAAAGAGAAATCCAGAAAAAGTCTTGAACAAGAGTCAAGCCTCTCACGCCTGCCCATCCACCCGCCCCCAAACTTTACCTGCCTTACACCACTCCCCCCATTGCACCATTTAAGCCCACATCAACTTGATCATTCAAGTTGGGCATTTCGCCATTTAAAGAGGAACTTCAGCGGTACTAGGATCTCTGAGAAATCCCCAAGAGCTCCTTGCCTATTTTGTGGCAGGAACAAGGAAGGAAAGGCAAAGGTCGGGTCCATCACAGGTACATACACGCACACACGCACAATTTGATTGATACATAGATAAATGGGTGGCTGGAACTTTGGAATTTGTGGGCAAATAATTATCACATTGGAAATGCAAATTGGTGCAAAAATTATGGAGTATACCTACACTATGACCCTGTTATTTTATCCCAGTACATACATGAGAGCAGCTTTTCCAATTACGTATTGCAATCCATTGAAGACTCACAAATTAGTTTAGTGAGAACAAATATGTTTTAATGGGTTAGAAAAAAGTTACCTTTTTGAGTTTTATAATGAGTTTATTAAAGAGTGTTCTTAGGGGCCGGGTGCGGTGGCTCATGCCTGTAATCCTAGCACTCCGGGAGGCCGAGGCGGGCGAATTGCTTGAGCTCAGGAGTTCGAGACCAGCCTGAGCAAGAGCGAGACCCCGTCTCTACTAAAAATAGAAAGAAATTAATCAGACAACTAAAACTATATAGAAAAAAAATTAGCCGGGCATGGTGGCGCATGCCTGTAGTCCCAGCTACTCGGGAGGCTGAGACAGAAGAATGGCTTGAGCCCAGGAGTTTGAGGTTGCTGTGAGCTAGGATGATGCCACGGCACTCTAGCCCAGGCAGAAGAGTGAGACTCTGTCTCAAAAAAAAAAAAAATAAATAAAAATGTTCTTAGGAAGGCAAAAACTTTTGATTTGTCATTTTAAAAAAGTTAATGTTTTTTCATGCTGTATAATAAAGGTAATGCAAGAGGCTACAGAGTTATACGCTTTCTCCTGGAATTCTCTGATACAGCACAGTGTAGTAATTTTTGCAATGCTGGGATACATTTTAAAAAAGTCTCTTCTGTGCCTCTCTTAGAAAAGCAATGAATAATAACAGAAGAAGGCATAAATAGTAATTTTTTTTCTATTCATTCTGTAGTATGGCCAGTATTTTCACCAACACAGGCAACAATTTTCACTTTATCCACTTTAATACATTCTGTCACCTCTCCGAATTCAACATTATTCAATACAAAAATCCACACAATATCGCAGAATCTGTATGTATTTAGAGAGCCTCTGAAATTGACTTTGTTCCTGATCCTCTCAGCCAATGGTGAATTTATAACCTTATCAAACTGAAGTAGAACTTGAAGGGCAAATTCGGGGCTGCTCTGTTGAGACTGCATGAGCTCACCCAGGCTTTCCCTAAGGTTGTTTCCCAAAGTGGGATTTCTGTTGCTTTTCATATTCAGGCCAGGAGCCCAGCAGGAGGTTCCACCAGCGCTACTAATTAAAATTTCTTGTTTGTTGACAAATGTAAAGTAAAACAGAGACATGATTTTTTTCATGCTTTAGAACGCATATTAAAAATAGACGTGGGTTCTATAACAGCAATACCTGTATCAGAATTTTAGAAGGTTACTTACTAATAGCATGGACCAACTAACCCACATTGGAATTTGCCCGAATTATTCCCACAAGGTCCCAGGTTGTCAAGCGACGCTTTAATAAAGAACCAGAATTCCACATCTCTGACGCGTGGATGGAGACCACCCCCGACCCCTCGGGTCCGGGTCTCCTGGTAATAGGACTCCCTGCTGGGGAAAGAAACAAACCTTCCCGCGCCGGTTCCTAACGGAGGGCCGCAGTGTCCTCTGGGAAGTGTAGTCTCCCCTCAAATGACGTTCCCAGGCCGGGGCCGTGGGAAGGGCTCTTCCTGGATCTCTCTACGCATGCGCCTCCCCGCCCACTTCCGCCATCTTCCGCCGGAAGCTCGCGTCTGTGCGTCTCAGCCGCTGTTGCTGGGCGGGTGTGGGGCCAGATTGAGTCCCTGAAGGTTGGCGCGAGCTGGAAGAGGAGCGCGCGGGCCTCGGGGAATCCCGGAGGGCGGGACTGGCGTCGCCCCACTGGTGGGAGCAGCAACGAGGGGGCATCTCAGGCGGGCGGGCTGGGTCGGGCTGGGGAAGGGGCGACTCGGGCTGTGCTGTCAAGGATTGCTTTGTCAGAAGCCGGCGCGCTTCCAGGAGGCCGGGTGGGGTCTTCTGGAGGTGCAGAGGCTGCTTCCAGAAGGTCCGCGATGGGGTGGTCGGGTCCGAGATGGCGAGTGGGACGGGGCGGGGTCTGCAGACCGCGAGCCCGGGTGGTCTGCAGTGCGAGTTCCCCTTTCAGCTCTGCCACTGTAGGAGCCTGTTACTAATCTACGTGGAACTCGGTTTACATATCTGTTAGGTGGGCGTATTAACAATATTATTAGTGAAATGTCCCCAAATTTCCAGAGAAGTAATTGTGAAGCCTGTGCAGAAGGATTCTTATGTGGCAGTTGTGTTTGTGGGGCTTTGTGGTGTTTATTGAGTAAATAAAATTTCTGGTCCCCTCCTGGTTTGAGTTTATAGAAGTTTATCCAAGAACTAGTTTTCAGGGTCAGTCAGTTCTAGGAGGGATATTGGGATCCCTCACTGGAGTATCATTGGATGATGGTCTGATTTTCTTTCGAATAAAGTGGGTTTTACAAAGTTCGAAGGAGGGCACCCTGTTAATAGGAATAACACTTGAGAGAACACCCCTCTGGCTTGAACCCTATCACGAGAGCCTCAGAGCAGAGGACGAAGGGTCACAGACAGGTGAAGAAACTAGATTTGCATAGTGATCCTACTCTCAAGAATGCACAAGATTTGGTTGGTAATACCTCACTTGCTAGCTGTCAAAGATTGGGTGATAGTGAGGTGAGTTTGACTGAGAAGGATAGGCAAGGTCCTGGGAGATATTACTTCTTGGAGGGGGCTCGAAGGTGTGGTCTGAGGTGGATGATAGCCTGTCCTACCTGAGAGAATCTGTCTACAGTGCTGTCCAAACATCGTCCCATTCCTTCCATCTTTCCTCATTGTTTCCACTGTCTGAGCTCTGTTAAACCTAGTTTATCACCAGATTTCTTGTCTAGAAATATGCCGATGCTCCCCTTGTCCTGATAGTTCTTCCTGGTGGTTCAGGAAGGATTTGCCAAAGTATTTCCACCTTGTGAGAAACATGAAAAAAATTGGCTTTCAGGAAATGGGCTTGCCCAGTGTCATGTGATTTGTAGATTTTAGGCATCCTGACTTCTTTGGTTAGTGTTACCCATTTTGCCACAATTAAGTCAGAACAAGTGTTTGTTTACTTTGAGATTATTGTTGTGACATTGAAGTCAACTTAGAACAAACATTGCTTTCAAATACTTTGCCTTAAACATCCCTACCCTTTCTTATCCCAATACTTTCTGTGCATTATGTGACCTCAAAATGTAAATAACTTGAGTGTTTCCCACTTAATGTTAGTAATCTGTTCTTGAAAATCACAAACTCTACAGGAAAATAATAGGAGTCTGATTTACATTATTTAAAATGGAAAAATTAGGTTCCGTCATACTTCTCCAAAGCAATCCAATTTCTTTTTTTCTTTTCTTTCTTTCATTTATTCATTCTTTTTTTTTTTTGAGTCAGGGTCTTGGTCTGTCACCCAGGTTAGAGTGCAACCTCAAACTCCTGGGCTCAAGTGATCCTCCTGCCTAAGCCTCCCAAGTAGCTGGGACTACAGGCCACCACATTCGGCTGATTTTTCTATTTTTTGTATTGACGGGGTCTCGCTCTTGGTCAGGCTGGTCTTGAACTCCTGGCCTCAAGCTATCCTCCTGCCTTGGCGTCCCAAAGTGCTAGGATTACAGGCATGAACCACTGCGCCCGGCCCAAACCAATTTCTTAAAATGTAAATATGTGCAAACTTATAAATAGCAGACCTTTTTATGTTTTTCGAAGGAAGCATAGTTTTTTATGATATAAAAAACTTTAAAAACATGGTTTACTGTTATAAACAGTTGATTTTTATGATTCAGATGGCCTCTATTAGGACCAGCAACCTCACTGAACTCTGTCCACTTGATATTCATTGTGATTTTCAAAACTTCTACATGTGGTTTTGAAGTTCTGTTGATTGTATTTGACAGGTAATTTAAGACTTTCTCCCTTAATAATTTTGTTAAAAACATATTGAGTTCTGGTGGTTTCAATGTAACAGTTAGCATTTGCTGTATAAGGAAGCAACCTATACTTACTGGATTAAAGAATATAGCCATTTTATTTGCTCAAAGTTCCGTTGATCTACATTTTGGAGTACATTTACCTGGTCAGTTCCAGTGCTAGCATTGCCTGGATCACAAATGAAGCTTTAGTTCTCTGGTGCCTTGACTGATGCTGATTGTTTTAAGATTGCTTCATCCACATGTCTTGTGGTTTGTGCTGACTCTTGGCTGGTCTCTGTGTCACTGACAGATTAGTCTTCCAGGATTCTTTTTTTTTTTTTTTTTTTGAGACAGAGTCTCACTCTCTTGCCTGGGCTAGAGTGCCGTGGCGTCAGCCTAGCTCACAGCAACCTCAAAGTCCTGGGCTTAAGCAATCCTCCTGCCTCAGCCTCCCGGGTAGCTGGGACTACAGGCACACGCCACTGTGCTCAGGTAATTTTTTCTATATATTTTTAGTTGTCCAACTAATTTCTTTCTATTTATAGTAGAGATGGGGTCTTGCTCTTGCTTAGGCCGGTCTTGAACTCCTGAGCTCAAGCCATCCTCCTGCCTCAGCCTCCCTCAGCTAGGATTATAGGCGTAAGCCACCGCTCCTGGCCTTCCAGGATTCTTTACAGTATGACTGTGTCCAAGAAGGCAAGCACCAGAGGGCAAGTACTTTTCAAACCTATATTTGCATCATCTTTTCTATTGTCTCATTGGCCAAAGCAAGTCAAATGGCAAAGCCCAGTTCATGTTGGAGCATACTATACAAGGCCTTGGATACAGGGAGACATGTCATTGGAAAACATTATAGGAACAGTATACCACAAGACATATACATTATGTACATTTTTTTCCCGTGAGCAAAAAATGTTGAGTTAGCAGATGAATACTTGCCATGAATTTCAGGTGTAGAAGAGCATGATGTGTTGTAATGGAAACACTCATAGGGAATCCTGTGTGGATTCCCCTAATAATATGGAATAGTTAATACAGCCCAAGTGTATGTTTATAATGTTAATTTAGTGAAGGCATAATGTTCCTTTCTTTGGCTTCAATTATTAAATTATATCTTTAGGTAACATTAACTGTTGCTAAATGAGTAGTAGGCAGTGTATGTTTTCATTAGCCCCAAAATAAATTTTCTAATTTCTGCCAGTTAACATACATGTACCTCCATTTCCACTGGGGCTATTGTTGCCCCTTATTGAGGTGTGAAGGACTATTCTCCCACAGGGAGGGTTTTTTTGTTTTTGTTTTTTTCCAGGTAATATGTAGAGAGTTTGGGACAGAAGAATCTGGGATCAAGCCACACCAGTTCTTTCCTTAATCCACTTCATTTGCGTTCTCTCCCAGCTGTGTTATCAGAGTGCTTTGCGAGTTTCCAAGAGCAACAAAAAATGAGTAAATCTCTGGTGAGTTGTTTATTTATTCCTCACTTTGTTTTACATTGTATTTTATGGAAGTTTTTTGGGGTCCATGGATTAAAATGGAAAAGTAGAAATAAGTAAACTTCAGCTTAAAGGCAATGTATATAAATAAGGCGAAGTTGGCAAGTAGACACATACAGGTTATAAGACCTGAGAGTCGTCTAAGTTGAGTACAGGTTGTCTCTCTTCTTTCTGATGTCCTGGCAAAAAGGCAGACACATTTGTTACATTGATTGGAATGAAATTTAAGAAGAGAGCGTGTTCTATCAACCTGGAAACAAACACTTGTGTTCTGCGGTGGCAGAAACCTGACTTAATAAGGTTTTTCTGGAATTGTTAAATAGTATGTTCCCAGACTGCTTTTGGAGAGCCCTTCTTGACTCATGGGTAAAACCTGGAAGATTGAGTCCACTCCAGGTCCTTGGATAATTCTCCGTGTTTCTCTCGGTTCATGCGTACATGCAGGGTGTGCAGCAGACTTCTCAAAGTTGTATTTTCTGGCAAATATCCCCAGTGCTCATTTGCACTTTAACCCACTCTGCGTAGTCTTAGTTCATTTCTTCTGAAACCCACCGGTAACCTAATTAGAGCCACATCTGATGACTGTTCTCTGGTGTTTGCCTTGAATCTTCTGCCACAGTTGAAACCACTGTTCATGATCTTCCATGGAAATTCTTCTGTGTTAGTTTCTATCATGACTTCACTGAAGGTTTCTTCCCTTTTCCCCTGAATTCTTCTGCTTTCTTCTCCTTAACTTAGCTCATCCAAGTGTCCATCAGGTCCCTGTTCATCGAATGAACTCCGCAGTTCTTGATCGGTTCAGTCCTCTGTGAGTTCGCAGTCCTGTTTCTCTCCAGCTTTGACTTCTTCCCCAGCCTTTAGGCCGTAGGTTCTACTCTGTCGAATGTTTCTTTGTAGCTATCCAAGTGGCACTGCAAGCTGAACAAAGCAAAATGAAAATGACATTCTCTAGTTTTCCTTTTTATATGGCATTACTGTCATCCAGCCAGTGACCCAAACCACTAAAATGGGATTTCTTCTGGACTCTTCTTTCTCAGGTATAATTTAATTTGGTGCCAAGTCCTGCTACTTTTGCTTGTTTTTCTTTTCATTTTATTCTAATGTTTGCATACAGTGCCAATGTAGGGGAAGGAGCTGTTGGTGCTCAGCAACAAACCAGTAACTTTATTAGCTTGGCGATATCATTCTTGTCAAAACTTGAAGGGTGTGTTTGCAGGGAGATGAGGGTCAGTCCCTGGTGAACTGTGCATCTAGCTGGCAATGTGGTGACATCCTTAGGAGTCCACAGGGGAAAAACGTTCAGGAGTTAGTGGACACATTTGGACAAGGGTCAATGAGACAGTATGTAAAGAATAAACACAAAAAGCATAGATTTTCATAATTTGTACCTTTTGCTTATTTAAATTTATGTCAATGATTTTTATCT